GATGCCCCGTGCGGCGCTGCGCCGGGCCCCACATGTCGCGTCATGCCCCCTACTACAAATTTGATGCTAACAATATATAATATATTTGATAGCATAACTGGATAGTACTTTTTTATAATATAAATGGATAATACTTTTCAATAGTATTTATATAATATACTTAATACTATTTTTTGATAACATAATCTGATAGCATATTGATATATATAATAGTATTATGAATAGCATTATTGATATTATTTATGTGATAAAATCTACAAAGTAAAATGCTTTGTATTTAGCATATATATAATATATTCCAATTGCATTAATTTTTCTATTAACTATTCTATATGATATATATTGTTAAATAATTTTGTATAAATATGATTGATATATTAATAATGAAGAAATATACAATAAAAAATATAAAGTTGAAGATAATCATATTTACAGGAATTTTTCTATATATATTATATAAAAAGTGTAAAAAGTTAATTTTTTCTAAAAATGTTACATGTATAATACATGCAAATAAGTATTGAAATATGAAATATTATTATTAAAAAAAGCTAGAGAAAATAGCAAAAAAATCAAAAGTGCTTAAAAAAAACTTATAACAATATTAATATTATATTTAATAGTATTTGTATAATTTTTTTTTATTTATATGGTATATAAAATAACAACAATGAAAGATTACAAGAGCAAGTTAATTTAAGCTATTGATAAAATTTTAATTTTTTTAATGACAAAAATTTGATTTGTCACATGTGACTTGATATACAAAATGTATTACTTTAATATATGGGCTAAAAAACAAATCATGTTACCTTGATATATAGTCTAAATAGCAAAATATATATTATATTAATATATATCCTAGTAGTTTTCAATCAATAATACAAATGCAATCTATATGATACTAATTTATAAACTACAGTATAATTATCTCAAGTGTAACTTCAATTTTTTATAATTAGTAACTTTTGAGTATACCTAATTTTTTAAGATTAGTCACTTTTGAGTATGACCAAAATTATATATAGGCTATATACAGTACCTAAGTAAAAATAATCTAGACTAAGTGAAAATAATATAATTATGTTATTCCTATTAATAAAGATCAAAATATCAAAAAATTTTAATCCTGAACAAAAGCACTATAGAAAATGTAGCAAGATCTCTCCACTTATACTACAAATTTAATCTTCTTCCAGATTCTTATTTTTCTATACTTCCATAACTATTCAATGAACCAAGCTATCTTATCAAAGAGTTTTTTATCTTTTTCCAGTCAAAAGAAGAAAGGATCTTAAAAATTTAAGCAATATAATTAGGAAACTTAAAAGATTCTTCATTATTTTCTTCAAAATTCCTTACACCTACTTTAATTTTTCACCTTTTAAAGTTTTTTTTTCCTCTATGATTATTAGAGCCTAAATTTGTTCACCTTTCTCTTTAGGCATATTTATTTACAATATTGAAGAAGTTATTAGAAACCTTAGAATCAAATATTTTTTTGAACTTCTTTTCAACTTTTTCAAAATCAAAAATCTCCTTCCAACATTTTCTTCAATTATTAATGAATCTTCACCACAAAGTCTCACAACATCCAATTTTTAATTAAAACCTTAGGAATTACTACTAATTCTTCCTACCACTAGGACCACACTGGATCGACCAACAAATATTCCAGATCGACAAAGCCAAACTTCCACCAAGATTAAAAAATATCAATCCAAGCCTAAACATAAATCAACTATTACATAGTGATCCTGATTTTAAAAAAAAAATCAAAATTCTTCACAATTACTATGAATTCCAAAGGATTTCAGAAAATTGGTTTGTCAACCCACATATCAGTCTACCAGAAAGTCCTGAAGAAGTCAATAGAATTTTGAAAGACAAAAACTTGAAATAAGACCTAGGATTACAAAACCCTGAAATAATCGCGTTTATAATACAAGAAAAAGATTGTATATCCTATCCTGCCCTCCAGAGTAGTGTTCATCCAATCAGAAACCATTAACGGTCGGAAATTCATCAACCAATCACACCACCTTGAGATTGACTTGGAAGTATTTCTGAGAAATGACAGTCTCGTGGAACGTCCGTAATGCGTAATTGAACAAAAAATAGTTGTTTTATCATTTTATAAGCACACTCAGGACAAAGAGTATACCAGCGATTTTATTAGTGTATGTCATTATAAATGTTTGAGAAGCAAATAAATGGTTTATTATATACCAGAAAACATAATTACAAGGTTTTGGGTGCAATCCGTGATAATGACAAGATCGACATATTCTTTCCCAATTTATTTTTGACTTCTCCCAACAGGCTGTTTTTTTGTATCCAATTCACTATTTCTTGTTACGTTTTGATTTAGATTTTTTCTTTTGATTTTTTACAGGAATTTCTTGCGTAGCCATATAATTTGGAATTCATTGAGGAGTGATAGAACTTGTTTCCATATTATTGATCAGCTTCTCTAATAAATCATTTAACATTCCCTACAAATCAATCATGAAAACTACTAATGAGGACTGAAAACCATAAATAGTTGTTATACAAACCCGAATATTCCAGGCCCAAATCAAACTAATACGCAAAATACGATAAGTTGAAAATGTTAAAGGAAGATTCAACGTTTTGATAAGGTGAAGTCGATAAACTTCACGTCTTTCCATTAAATATATACGAATTTCTGTCTTGTATTGCTATTAAAAGTAAAATTTATTGAATATGATTTTTGTTATCAAATTCTTATGGTTTGAAGTACTAAATTTACTCACTTGAATCCCTATTGTATACAAACACGTTTCATCTTTTTTGACTTTATTGTAATATTTCATACGCATATCATCAAGGGTGTCTTTTAACAACCGTTGTAATTGAAATTGATCAGAAGCTTCTTTGGTGAGATCAACTTTGTGTGGACCACCAGAGGTCAATAAACATAATATCTCGTATGAATCGGTAGAGCATAACATATCTGCCATATGGTCACGATCTAAAACATTTTTGTCAGAATTACGTCTTCGCAAAGAAGCTTGCACTGTAACTTCTCCCCTATTATACAAAGTAATTAAAAAGTTATTATCTTTAAACAATCGTAAATACAAACTACAACTCAATTGTAATAGCAAACCATGCTACTTGAAAACGACCATCAAGTGCCAAAGCACCTTGAAAAATTGGAATTAGGTAACCTCCCAACCATTCCCTCTCATGACAATCTTGTATTAATGGGTTTCGTTCAGATTCAAATGCATCAAGACTTATAAAAAGATATCATTACATTATAAACTATACGACACCTCAGAAAAAAGGATAAAAAATTATTGTAACTTACAATCGACCTACAGCCCATTCTATCCACCATATAATTTTTTTCCAGTCATCTTTGTTATACGAGAATCCTTCCTCATATTCAGGAGCCTTAATATTTCTTAAACCTTCCCATCGAGCACGAGCTTGTTGAATACTTAGTCTCTATCAGTTAAAATACAAACATTATTTTAGAGACTTATCAATAAAGTCTAAAGTTATAAAAACGATATATACCTTTTGTTCAAACAAATGATCGAGAATTGGTTTTAATTCACTGTGATACTCCAGATTAATTACATTAGGACGATCGGAAGTGAGTTCGGACCAATAATCAGGTGCAAATTCTCTTGCAATTTTTGAAGTTGGGGAGAGATCAAGAATGTAGCTATGTGCATGACTAAATTGGCATATCAGTGTAAAAAATATGTTAGTAGACCAAAGAAAAAATCTCTAGTCAGAATAAACTTACTCAAACTTGGATGTCAAATTTTTTTTGCAATATTCCTTCATAATAAAAATCATTGTTCGATTTATTTTATTCCTCTTCTCTATTTCACAAGGAGACTCATCCCCATCACTTGACCCAGAATCTCCGGCATTTTCACTTTTGCAAGATTTATCGTCTTCACTTTCAAAATCGCTTTCTTCTATACGTTTACAGTTCTTTCCTTTGCCATTTTTTTCCTAAATTTTAGATATTTTTTTAATATTAACTTATATATTTAGCCTATGAGAAGCTTTAAGTGTAACTATAATTACTTGAAAGCTATTCTTTTTGTTCAAAATTTTCTTTCTTAATTTAGATATTAAAATCGGATTCTTCTCGACGTCTTCAATTACATGTTTCCTTTTTTGTGGATTATTATTTTCTGAGAAAGCTAAACCCTAAAAAAAAAAAAAATCTGATTAGATTTACTGTGTAAAAAATGACACGTGTAAGAATAAAATCAATATTCACGCAATTTCGTTTCCGTGATTCTAGTTGCCGACTGGAAAAAGTTTTCTTCTCCTCTCTCACGTGAGTATTCAGTGTATTTTGGTACTCGTACTACATAATTAAGTTAATATAATTAACAGAAGAAAAAGATCAATGAGTTAATGTTAGAATATTGAACTCACCTCTTCAACCTCTTCATTTTCTTTCAAAATAACAAGCTTGGTTAACTGATCTTTTTCCATTATTGAGTCAAACTCGAAAGGCAAAAAACATGGTGCAATTAGTTAAATATAAAATAAAAAAATTATATCCTTAAATGGTTGAGGGCATAATGAGGAAACCCGGGATGGCGCGCAGAGCATCCCGTCTAGTATCAATACTATTTTGTGGAGCAGAACATATTACAACACGCCAAGGAAACCCAGGATAGCACGCAGAGTATCCCGTCTAGTATTGACTTGACTCAGTCAAGTTGTGTTGTCAACAGTTGTGCACTTTTGCAAGAAAATGTACTAACCTTAAACGATTTCTTTAGTGAAGATGCCTTTATTCTTTCTTTTGTTAAAAGGTTATACCTTTGTTCAATTTCGTCTAAACACTTCTTATATTTGAAATTATAGACGCGTATTTTATTAGATAGACCAGACATAAGCGCGTAGTGGACAAAGCCCTTGTACGACCATTTGTCAGAGGCGAAAACGTTAAAATATTCTGAATACGTAGACATTTTTTCTGATTACAGATGATACTGTACACTTGGTACACTCTTATAACCGATCAGAGTTACATAATTTTTGTGCAAGCGAGTAAGGATATTGAATTCGATCAGATCCTGCAATTTTATTTTCGTTAAAAGTTCCAAACGTGTAATCAATTTACGAATATTTCGTTGTGATAATGCATTTCAACAAATCAACTTCTGGGCTTGGAAACTATCCTTTCGTACATTTCCAAGAAATTTATTATTATCGCAAAATAAATTAAACTTTCACTCGAGTTCGAAAAAATATAAATTAGTTTGCTGCCAGATAACGACGGATAACGACAAAATGGTATATATTCACCAACAATTAAATATTCGAATTGGTTGGGTTGTTGTATATTTCGTATAGGTATAACTGACGACGATTTTAAATCTATTCAAAATCACTAACAAATAAAACCAGATGTGGCTATATTTAAAAGTTTAATCAATTACGCTTATTAATCGATAAGAGAAAAAACAAATATACCGAATATCATAACATTCCCGGCAGTAATAGGGTAAATTTTGGAATTTCTATTTTATTTCAATCAATAAAGCAGACATGTTACATACTGTACCAATATTTTAATGAGATCGTCGGTCCGTTAAATTTCATCAAATAAACGTTAGTCATCATTTTTCATTCAATGTATTCGTTAAGAAATACAGTATATTTGCTGTATTTCATCAAAATTTCATAAAAAAGATTTCTAATTCCTATAGTTACTATCGAATTCATTATATTTGGGCTTCTTTAATATCAGTTAGTCTTTGGGTCCTTTTTAACCTAATCATTTTTCAATCGCGAGATTTTTGACGGATATTTTGAAAGTGTTTTTTTACAATTTTCAAATGCGTAAAATAATTATAGTCAGTATTTGTTGTACAGATGGTTTGCAAGTTATTATACAGAGTTTTAGAGTTACCTTTTAAAGGTTCTACTTTAACAAATTAATAATGCTGCTTAACAAGATTATGCAATTAAAGGGCATTTTCAAATTTTAACATTTTCAGATCTCTATTTTAAATTGGTTTATCATATGTCCAATCATTCATCAATTTATCTAATTTGCACATGTATATATACTAAAAAACTTATACATTTAATATTTATTAGAGTTGTTATTGGCTTAATTGAATCCGACTCTAGCCACAAAATAGAGCCAAATCGAATCAAGCCATTAGGATCATAACTTTAAGCTATAGATTAAACCGTTGTTTAAACCATGTCTTTGAAATATAACTTAAAATATAGCTTGAGCTACGGCTTAAGTAAGGTTATTATTGGCTTGCTTGAAGCCAGCTCTAGTTGCAAAAAAAAACAAGCCAACCAAGCTATTAAAATCATGGCTTTAAATTATTTATTAAGCCGTGGTTTAAATCATGCATTGAGTTATAACTCGAGCTATAGCTTGAACTACGGTTTAAGTTATAAAATGAGCTATGACTCATTATATAACTATTGTTGTAGGCAATTTTCGATACAGTAATGTGATATAACATTACATTACATATTTAGTATAAATATGGGAGGGCGTGAAGAACCGTTATAGAACAATATTGTGAGAAAATTCGAGCAAAATGACACATCAAAGCATGTAAACGAATGCTATATAAAGTACAATTATTGAATGCGTGAGAAACAAGGATTTTATGCTAGTATTTTAGCATAACAATGGAATAGGTTATAAGCTCACTTGAATTATTCGTTACCATATAAATATTGTTTGTGTGCTTATAACTTGTATTGAAAATTTTAGCAATTAGAACAGGGTCAAGAAATTAATCTATCAAGTTGAACGCACTCCAAGAGTTTAATTTTAACAAACACTTGGATTTTTATACTCAAGGCTTCCAATCCAAAATTTACAGTTCAAAATTTATTATTAAATTATAAAAATTATAAGCATGTATAAAATTTTATAATACACTACATGGACAAAATTATTGCACATCTTAAATTTATTATTATACAAATATATATAATAATAATTTTATTTGAAATTTTAATATATTTTTTATTATGTTTTGAATATATGCAGTCTCTTCAATAAATTAAAAACCACTTAAGAATTATCAGTTAAGGGACATTTCCCTCCCGTTGTTGTTACACACAATATAAATTGTATTATAAAAATAACATTTTTTGTTTTGATTAAGGGAAATGTCCCGTGACTATTATTATAATTAAATGGAAATAGTTGTCATACTGTATATTAAATAAACTTGTTTTTCATAATTAATTCTATATATGGTTAAATTTTTATTAAATATAAACAAACTTTTATTATTACATTTAGTGATTTTTTTCTGAACAAAAATTTTTTTAATTTTTTTATTAAAATTTTGGCACCTATATGATTTTTATAATCACTATTTTAACAAGCATTTTTATATTAATAAATTTTGTTTGGCATATATTAAAGTATTTAAATATTAAATTTTATAAATTTTTTTTTTTTTTTAGTAGGTAAATATCATTTCTTTATTTGATCTGTATATGTCAAGGTATACATCATAAAAGAAACAACATCTCTCATACGCTATTGCGATAAGTTAAATGCTAGCTTGCCTACAGCAACTACTTGACTAATATT